GAAATGTTACAAACGAGTTTCTTTAACCGTCGCGTACACCTCGGGGGGGACAGCAGTATGCCTTAAGATATATCCGGGTACAATTCTAATCTTGTGCAGATATAGCCTGAGATGCAATAGATTAATCTCAAACGGACTGCGGCACTGGCCCTTCTTCGGAATCATATGCTAAGTACATTTTTCTACTATAATCATCCGCCGTTTGTACCTGGAGCCCAGAGGGGGTGGCCATCGTACTCATTGTTTCGTCGCGGGTTCGCTCGTGTCAGAGGCGTGGTGTTACTCATTTTTTATAGTTACGATCGAGATGTGGGGCAGTCTGGTGTAACGTCTTCTAGAGTATACCTCTACTCTTTTTTAGCTCCCCCTCCTGTTAATCAAACGCGTAAATAGAGCGAATTCTCTCAACCTCGCCCCCGACACCCTGACATAGAGACGGGGGTATATTGGTACTCAGAGAGGGTTGGATGCAGGGGGGAATGGGGGGAGATGCGAGGGTGTGACAGAGAGGGCTATTTAGAGAGAGAGGGAGGGGGGTAGAGAGAGAGAGAAAGAGAGAGAGAGAGAGAGAGAGAGAGAGAGAGAGAGAGAGAGAGAGAGAGAGAGAGAGAGAGAGAGAGAGAGAGAGAGAGAGAAAGCCGACTGAATCGCGAATCACCACTCTCAGTCTCAGGGTCCTGGGCATGGATCCAGCTCTCGTCTGGAGTCCCCCCCCCCCCCCCTCCGTTTAACTGGTACACACAATAGGAACAAACCAACATCAATTTTGCTCGAGGCAAATTTTTGTCTCTATTTAGTGAAGAGCGTCGATATTTAGCGATGTTCTGTGATAGGGTAGAGTCTGGTAACTTCGCCAGTCGGGTAACTTCGCCACCCCCGTTCACCCTCTCTTAAGTACATTGGAATATCCTATCCTCTCTATTCTAATTAGGCAAACATTTTATGCCAATGAGAAGCAGGGATCCTTGGCTTAATCTATATAACTAATCACAGCCTTTGTTACAGTTTTGACGTCACTATCGTGATGTCATACGCGTCTCTTCGTCGTCTGCTCTACAATTCGCATCCCTTTCTATGAATCTTCTTCATAGAGCTTACACATCTTAACCCTACTCATTCTGCTTTTAATTCTTATTTGACTGACTATCATCTATATTTTCTATATTCTTCCCTTGATTCCTTTTATTTAACTGCTCTATTATCTCTATGTAAAGGTCTTTAATAGTTATTTCAATCAATTTAATTAAATAAATACCTTTGACTAAGGTTACCTATCGTTGGGTAAATTCGCCACGGCCGACGGGTAACTTCGCCAATACTGTAAAGTTGCAATTATCTTGACCTTTGATCACTAACTTTGTTGTAATCTTTAACAATCATTTCTTTATTATTGTGAAATCAATAACTAACATTATTTCACAGTATTACATTTCCTGAATTGCAAGTTTTTGTTACTAAAATTGCTGTAACCTTTACTAACACTGTTCCCTACAATTATCTTACATTTTTGTTGCTAACATACATTGTTGTAATATTTACTAGCCTAACACGTGTGTTGTAATATAACATTATTGCATAATTATTTCTAGTAATTTTGCAAAGTCTAGATCTATATCTACCCATTCACTATGCCAACACTGTCAAAAAATTTGTACGGCAAATATGACAGAGAGAATCTGGTTAAAGCCATTGATGCAGTTGCCAATGGGATGAGCTGTTCTGGGGCAGCTCATCAATTCGGCATTCCCAGGAAGACCCTTGCCGATCATGTTTCGGGACGATCGAAGCTGGAAAGAAGGGCTGGGAGAGAGAGAAGCATCCCCGAAGCCATTGAAAACAAAATAGTAGATAAGGTCATCGCTGCTGCGGCTGCTGGATTACTTATCACCAAGCAGCAATATTTACTGAAAGTAGGATCAGTTGTCAGCAAGCTGCACCTGAAGACCCCCTTTACAAATGGAGTTCCTGGAAAGGATTACTGGTTGCAGCTAAAGAAAAGGCGACCTGATATTGCAATTCGCACTCCGGAGAACTGCTCATCGAGCAGATTAGCTATGATGAAAAGGGACGTGGTTGACAGATATTTTGGAGATCTGCACAAGACCATAACTGAGTTGGGATTACGAGAGAAGCCAGCACAGATCTGGAACTGCGATGAAACGGGCCTCACATTCTGCCCGGATGTTTCAAAGGTTCTGGTTGCAAAAGGAGCCCGGAATGTAGTGACCAGGTGCAGTCCGTCCAAAGACAACATTACCACCTTGGTATGTGTTAACGCCGCAGGTTCTGCCATGCCCCCTATGTGCGTCGTCAAGGGAAAAACGAACAGGTCCATCCATTCCTTTGCTATCCAGGACAGCCCAGAAGGCACCATTTGGGCCTATCAAGAAAATGGTTGGATGAACGACGACTTAGGGGTGCAATGGTTTCAGCAAGTTTTCCTCCCCAACTGCGGAGACTCAAGGCCTCAATTGTTGATCCTAGACTCACACCACAGCCATGAGGTCCTGGAACTTCTCGAGATGGCGAAGGAACAGTTGGTCCATGTTTTGGCTCTCCCCCCTCACACCACACATATGCTCCAACCTCTGGACCGGGTGGTATTTAAACCATTCAAGACAGCCTACAGACGCCACTGCACAGAATTTTTAACTGCCAATCCAGGGAAAACCATAAATAAAGTGACATGGCCAAGCCTTCTTTCCAAAACCTGGATGTCAACTTTGAAGCCAGAGTTAATACAAAAGGCTTTCGAAGCTACTGGAATCCACCCTGTAGACAGGACAAGAATACCTGAATCGGCTTTCTTGCCAGGAGATGCTTATAGGGCTGCAGTTGCAACAGCATCATTGTCATCAACAGAATCTGAACCTGCAGTTGCAACAGCATCATCGTCATCAACAGAATCTGAACCTGGATCTGAACCTGCAGCAACGCCAACACCATGTCCCATGGAAGTGGAAGAGCAAACTATTGATGATGTTGGGGACGTCTTGACGATATCAATGGATGAAATAGGGAATCTTGATTTCTTCAACTTCACCGTTAACGTCGAAGGAGAAGATGTCCACATTGATGATATTGTCAATGAATCATCACCAACCGTCACCGACACTCAGCCAGAAACCAACCCAACTCAACTCCCGGAGGCAAACTACTGGAACCAAACCGTAAATGAAATTTTTGGCATTGCTTCCCAGTCCCCAGGAAACACAACCACTCGGAAATCAAGAGCGATTCCATCGCACTCGCACAGACTATTAACATCTGAACAGGTGCTCCAGGAGAAACGAGAGGCAGCAGAAAAAAAGGAAAGGAAAGAAAAAGAAAAGAGAGAGAGGAAGGAGAAAGCACTTCAGAAGAAGATTGAAAAGGCTACTAAAAATGCTGATAAATAGATAGATTAGTCTATCTGATGATGATGTTAAGAATATATAATTCTTATTTTGTGATCTCCTGTATCTAAGGGGTTAAAAAATTGTTCCATTTTTATTTGACTTAATAAAAAAATATTAAAAATATTAAAAAACCAAAAAACCAAAAAAAAACAACAACCAGGAAACAAATGAAAAAGCAACACAAAAACAAGAGATAAAATGGCATTAAGGGGTGGCGAATTTACCCGATCGGGGTGGCGAATTTACCCCCAGGCTGGCGAATTTACCGGCCATGACCTACCCTAATAAAAAATGCGATATCTTTACAGTACGAAGGCAAAGCGTTTAAAAGGAAGGCAGAGGGGGCATTTTGATTGGCCAATATAAGGCCTATGTGTGTTTCGTCCGTGTCAAATGAATTGACTGCATCACACAGAGATTCTTCACCGTCAATGAACGAAGGTGGCGAAGTTACCCGACTCTACCCTATTTAGTGAGTATGTGCGGATTCAGTACTTATACTTTTGGGCGCTTTTTCGGTAGTTCCCACCCCCCTTATTTGATAGAGCCTGACCTACATCTAGATCTATATACGTTTGATTCGCGGCAAGCTAAGATGTCAAACCTAACAACTGCAAAACATTAAATTGTGGTAAAATTCAGGGGGGCATGCCCCCCTGAAACCCCCCACCTTGTTTTTA